AATGATTATTTATGTATTTAATAATAAAATGTTGCTTAATTTTTATTAAGCACCACCTTAATTTGTCCAAAAGTGAACACTTGTTACAGTGCAGTTTCTGCTGTTACTGGAGATATTTTAGCGGACTATAGTCACTAGTTTTACCTGCATGGATGCATTGAATACTTAATTTACCTTTCTAAAAAACTGTCGAATATCCATGCTGTCGACTCAACCTGACTTTCGGCAATGAACTGTCAGTTGTTGCGTTAGCATTTGATGTGGCGATGGTGACAGACACGTCAATGCTAACGCAACACCTGTTGCGTTCAGGAAACCTGGGAGATTTAAATTACAATAATGGCAGGGTATCGAAATATAATTTAAAATGGCCACATTACATTGAATTTGTTGCAATATATTAGCAAAAGTACAGGAAAAATAAATAATACTTTTTTTTAAATAATGCAATGAAATTATTTAGGGGGGCTAAAGACATTTTTAGTGAGGCTGAAGCCTCCCTAAAATAGTCCTAATGACGCCCATGGTTCCAAGACAAAAACCACTGCTGACTAAAAACAACATCGAGGCTCGTTTTTCTTTTGCAAAACATAAGAAATAATAAACCTCTGAATGGCTTAAAAAATGTTTTGTTTTGTTTTTCATGACATAGTCAAAATCTGGACTTGAATCTGATTGAAATGCTGTGGAATGACCTTAAAAAGGCCATTCGTGCTTGAAAGCCCTCCAGTGTTGCTGAATTAAAGCAATTCTGGAAGGACGAGTGGGCAAAAATATCTCCCCAGAGATGTGAAAGACTCATTGCCAGTTTGAAAAAAATGTGCGATTTCAGTTGCTGCTGCTGAAGATGCTGATAGGTACCATGACAGGTACTCTTGCGTTGGTTTTCATAATGTCGTGAAAGACTATGGTCTTTAATTACTGCAATAACAACTTTGCAGTTTAAACAGTTACTTTCCCCTCGACTTCTAATTAAATCACCAATACTGTTGACAAAAGGTCTCAGCAGTGCAATTAGGATCCCAAAAAATAGAATCAAATCAGCGGTAAAAAAGCACTCAGGGTAAAAGTGACTGATCCAAACAGAAGCCATGCAGTCCTCCTTATTAGCCAGCCACTTCTGTTAACTACTGCCGCAGACGAGTCCAAGGACTTTTTGGTTTACCTCCTTGTCTTTTGAACTCTGCTCATCACCATAACAGGCATGTGGCGATGATGATGAAGTAGTCTATCTCTCTTGATGATAATCCTATAGCCGTGCATTATTTTACTTTTTTTCATGAAAGGGAGAGAAAGACCTAGAAATGATAGCCAGGGTGGTTAAGATAATAATTCACGATCTTCAGCCCCCAGGGGCAGCGGCACACAGTGCAACGCAGCAAGCAACACACACTCACTCGTACACATATACATGTGCACACAAACATGTTCCGCTCACATCCCCTCAGTCTTGACTGCGGGTAAAAAACAAGTTCAGGCAGCATGTCTTAATCAGCTTAGACAAGCCCGAATATCACTTTTTTTTTATTTTTTCAAATGGAATAAAACAAGAGCAGAAACCACAACAACGCATTAAAAATGTGAAACCACTGAGAGGACAAAGGCCCCTTGCAATGGACCTTGATTCATTTGTGGCATAATTTCTGTCCTACGAAAGCTCTCTCGTGTTAATGGGGGCTGTGCTGTCATCTATTCAGTGTGTGGTGGTAAAAATGTTGGCCGGTGTTTTACATGTCATGTCATCGAACTGCCAATTTTTGATGCTCAAATGTTTACATCCCCCTACCACTGTCAGTAACAGTGATAGTTGATCATTTATAATTGGCAATGGCATACAGAAAATAGAAATCATGTTTCATGTGACATGAACAAACAATAAAATAAAATAAATATATAAATACATTGTCATTCACATTTTGGTGCAAGTCAATGAATTATTGAACCCCGATCAGAGTAATTAGATATAGATAGATAGATAGATAGATAGATAGATAGATAGATAGATAGATAGATAGATAGATAGATAGATAGGTGTGTGTGTGTGTGTGTGTGTGTGTGTGTGTGGTGATGAGAATAGAAACGCAGAGAAATTATTGTAATATTCACCACTGCTCATTTGAGCAATTACTACATTACCAATCAAGGGAGCAGAACCATTCTAGCTGAAATATCGAATAGAAAAATCTTTCTCTCACTAACTAAAGGGTTCATGGAAGATTGAGCAATAATTTATGAGTTCCTCCGCCAAATCAATTAATTTGGATGAAAAAACTCATTTCGGCGGGGGGATGAATCATACATTAGCATAAAGCAAATAGATCATCGCTATTTCTCCCTCTCCAGCTATAAATCACGACAAACTAAATCTTTAAACTTACAGTGCGTGACCTCCGAGCCGCGCACTGAACTGGATTTAAAAGGCTATATTCGGAAAATGTCAAGCAAATAGATAGCCTGCCAGAGCAGAGACGGCTTTTCGTGCGTAACAGCAACACGAGTCTTGGGTCCTGCTCGAATTTAATTCCTAGCGGCGGACTGGTATGTTGCCGTGCGCTTTTGCGCCCGTTTGTTACCGGCAAATCAGCGCACGCACGACCGGCCCCAAAGAATAAGTTAAATGCGTGGTACTCCGCCGATTGCCAGTCACCTCGCTGTCAAAATGAGCAGTTCATTTGAATTGCGGCTGTGCGGGACAAATTGTAATTGATTCAAGTTTGACTTACGCTGCTGTTTTGTCCTGACCAGTAGACGACAGCGTGGTTATGTGCCGAGTCCCCAGTCAGGGCGAAAGTGCCGCTGGTGATCTTCGGCTCATCCTGCTGTTTATTTCCTCTGCCGTCGTCCCTGTTCTTTCTTAACTCCGCTCGACTCGGTCCAGAAGACCTGAGCCCGTCCAGCAACGAGCCCCGTTCTTCCGAGGTACCGTGATTCAGGTCAGCTTGCCCCGTCAACCCACTCTTGCGCAGCTCCGCAAACTCGGGGTTGTTTCTCTTCACCCTCAGCAGCGCAACGCCATCACCAAAATCCCCTTTTTGGTTTGATCCGCCGCTGTGACTTTGTGCAATGGACCTTCGTGTGTTTTTCCTCAAGTCAGGTGCATTTTCTCGGTCTTTGTCCTTTCCAGCATTTTGTCGAGCAATCCCGAGTTCCCTAAACTCCACTTGGATGTTTTTAACAGCGCTCAGTCCATCTGTTGGTTTAGCGCGTAATTCACCGGTGTGAAGTTGAACTAGGGACCGGCGAGATGCGTAACCTATCTCCGCCTTCGTATTTTGGAAGGAGTGAGCAGTTATCATTAGCCAGACACCCAGAGCAAAGTGCAAGCTCGGGCAGAAGCCCGTCCAAGTCTCCATCGCTGACAGAAATTTGGGGGAGGATGGAGCTCAGGAGTCCTTATCCAACACCTTAACTCCTCTCTCTCGGGTCGGCAAAGAATAACTGACGCGCGGGGTTGTCGGTCTGCTGATTTCAGAGGGGAAAGTGCTCTTCAGCGAAACTGTTCACGTCCAAGGATCTTTGATGAGGAAAGCCACACATTGGAGGGAGGAGCTGTAACGCAGCCAGCTGCCTAGTGCGCGCCCGGAAGAGACGGAGAGGGGAGGGAAGGAAGCGACTGTCCATGGTACTGAGCTCTCATCTATCTCTTGTTTCCCCCTTGTAGAGATCAGACCAATGCAGCCATATGTGCACATGGTGATTTTGATTCATATTCATTCAAATGTTGAATTTACATGCCACAATGCATCAACATTAATTGTCTACAAGTACAAGAATACATTTCGTCTGCAAATTATAACACCCCGTTGTTATTTTTGTGACGTCGAGAGTTAACGTTGGGCTCAACTCATCTTGTACACCTCTCTATCCATAACCCAGGATTTAGCAAAATATTTGACTTCATTGTAAGCAAGTCGAACAAAGTCCTAAAATCATGTACTCAGAAACTCACTATCACCAATGTTGGCTTGCACTAAAACGGGGGTAGGCAACTCCAGTCCGAGAGCTGCAGTCCTGCTTGTTTTTAAAAGTTTCCCTCCTTCAACACACCTGATTCAAATGAACAGCTCATCAGCAGACTGATGAAAAGCCTGATACTGATTGTGATCATTTGAATCAGGTGTGTTGGAAGAGGGAACTTCCAAAACAAGTGGGACCGCGGCTCTCTAGAACAGGAGTTTCCTACCCCTGCATGAAAACAACAACAAAGGAAGTATGTCTGAACAGAGACATGTGAAATGAAGTGGTCTTCACTCACTCGAGATTTCCCTTATATAAGGAGTAGCATGGAGCAATGCATTATATTCTATTTGGAATGGAATTGTCAAAAAAGTAACAATAATATATAGGTATGTCATAACATTGTAATACATAATAATAGTAAGAAAAAAATAACAATAAAGATATACACTCAATTCACATCAACTTTTCATGTCATTCCATACATATTTTGTTTTGCTAATGTAATCATCAAAATCATTTTACTTTGATCAATTAAATAGTGCTTTCACACAACAGACTACACAAATGTAATATTTGCTTGAGTTATTGTTTCCTCTGGTTTATGTTATGTTCAATGCATTGTCAAACACATGCAAAATATCACAACCGACTATACACTTAATAGGTTAGCTTATTCCCATTTGTCAACTTGATTCACCATGTGAATCTCTTTGTGTCAGGGGTCCACCCATACACAGCATACCAATATGAGAATGAAGGGGTGAGGAGACGAGGTCAGTCTGACAGTATAGGAGTTGGGGCCATGCTCGTGCTGCTTCAAGGGAGCAGAACACTCACTGATGGATTGGGGAGAATTGGCAGAGAGTTGCACCATTCCCATGGGAGGAATAAAGTAGTGCCTCAAGGCATAGTGTATCGAGAAAGGAAGGAAAGTGTGACGGCTAGGATGTATTCTCAGGTATTGCGCATGAACGAATAAGAGCAACAATGAAGTGATAAATAGCAAGAAATGTGTGTGTGAGTGTGTATGTGTGTGTGTGTGTATGTGCGTGTGTATCTATGTAAGCGGGAGCGAGAGATAGAGAGACAGGAAGAGAAAGCCCATGAGTGCAGTAGGAAGAGTGACAGAGAGAGAGAGAGAGAGAGAGAGACAGAGAGAGAGAGAGAGAGAGAGAGCGCGTTTGAGGGTTACTCATGTGTTGTGTCCTTGCCTTGTCTGTCAACTCGACTGTCAACAAAATGTCCATCAGGGAAAACCCAGGAGACTCAATCTGAATTTCAAGCGACTTTCAATCATATCAGTCTGAAAATAATATTTTTTTTTTCAAAAATCAATTTGGTGTTTATTTCAGTACAATGGATGTGTAATTGATCTACAGGTGCAGCTCAATAAAATTCAAAAAGTCAAACTCACTATTACTATTTTACTATTATCATTTTTAGATAATAATTTTGATAAACTTTGAAACCATATTGCCTGTGTCGGAAGTGGCTGCTCAAGATTTGATCCCTACTGCGGACGAATGTTTTTAAAAAAGCTGTTAGGGAGATACCAGTCAGCTTCCTGACGACTGTCCCAGTGCCCTTGAGCAAGGTGAAGTTTGCCGAGGTCACGTGCCACAACCTGTGCTCTCGCATGACATCTTATAAGATGTCAGTTTGATCGTTTTGTGTGACTATGTGTGATCTTATAAAATAAGTGACGCCATACTCTAACCACCCTTCATTTGCTACCGCCAGGATTTGACATTTGACAAGCAGGGTCAATAAGTGCAGCATTAAATATTGAGTTTTCCACAGCCCAACCTTAAAGTAGGAATTTCCGATTTAGAAATAAACTGAAGGAGAGATCTGTTGTTGCTGTTGTTTTTTGTTTTTGTTTTTTGTTTTTTTGGTAAGAAAATGTGGCTGATGAACCACTTACTGTAACTATCACATTGCACTTGTCGGAGGTCGCACATTGCAAACATACAAGGAGAAGAGCAAATACATTAAAGACAGTGGAATCGGGGGACTCTTGCCTTGTCAGGAAGTGACAGTTGAATGAGCCTCTTGTGAGTTTCCAGACACATGAAGCTAAAAGGTCAAGCCTTGATAGCGCATCCTTGGACATGCAACCAAAACTGACCTTTTCCTTTCATAATCGGGCATTATTTTTGATTGACAAATGCCTCTTTTGGGGCTTCGCATCAGTCACGGTCGCACATGTATAATTCCTTCTTTCTGTGATGTATACAGTATGTCTATGTATTTGTAAAGACACACCCAATTGAATTTCATTTGGATAAACACTTACTTTTACTGTGATGAGCATTTTAATTATTGGCAGTGATCATTCAAAAGGTAATAATTGTTTCTCAGAAAAAAAAATCATGTTATAGAATGATATTTGTCACATTAATTACGTCAGAAAATCTCTACCATTTGTGTACTAAATGAAATTTCATGATTTGCAACATGTTGTCCAATTATGCGAATTACATTTTTGGATGTACAATATTTTTCTCCTATTGCTTAATGTGTCTTTTACATGAAAACTAACAAAAATGCATCTTTAGGCTCTATTTTCCTGCCCACTGCAAGTCTGGCACAGTATAAATCTGCGCAGGGGCAGGCAAGAAAACATTTTTGTATTTTCGCAGACCTGGGCAAGCTGGTGCAGCGTCACACATTTTAATCAGGCTCTGGTAGTTTGAGATAATGTAGCATGCAGTGGGGAGCCATCTTGCCCCTGTGGGACATTTGCGGCTGGGTAAACCTTCGATCCTTGGCAAAAGTGGATGCTGTGGCTGAAAATACTGTCCATAGAAAATGTGGACGATATCTGCAGTATTGTTTTTTTGATAACAGGTATCCTGCTGTTTGGAGTTGGCAGTTACCTGATGTATTGCATAATTTAGCTGAGCAGCTTCATTAGATGGTAATAAGCTGATGGCTCACATGGAGGGTGTGGGGCTGATGATAAATTCTCAGACTCATGCGTTTACCGGACTCAATCAAAAAGTGGATGCAGTATGAGAGTTGCTTTGCAAAATGGAAAAGAACAAGCAGTAGTTGGCCTGACCTGGAAAAATGTATGCCATTGAGAGTCACAAGCTAAAATACTTTCAAGGCTGTCTGAAATTGTTGATGACCTGTTCCTAAAACAATTGTTATCTGGACTTTACAATGGATGAAAAATTACGCTCAGGCGCAAGCATTCCTATCAGCCCCTTACCACTCCTTCCCGAACCCAATGCTGATAAGCTTGGCTTTGCAGCTGCTTTACACGCATACACAAAGACAGAACAAATTAAAATGACCAGTAGTGTAGTAATTATGATGTAATGATGATTGGGCAAATGACGCCTACAGTCCTTGCGCTCTTTAAATTGTCCACTGGTTTGGAATAGTGCTAGGCGATATGGAAAAAAAAATCTATCGCGATATTGGCCATTTCATATTAAAATAACAATATCCTATAATATATTTTCAATTATTCTATTAAAAAAAGGTTGTAAAGCACACCTTGTTGGTGCTGTTGCTGTTCTTGTTGTTGTTGTTGAGTAACCTCCAACTGGGTCCCAAAGCGGCTCTTAAAGCCGCAGCGACACAGGTACCTGCAGACCAGTGGCGATTGCTCTCGGACTGCAAGGGAAGCTCAGCTTCCTCTAAAATGTCAAAGAATAAGTGATCAAATATATGAATGTAAATGTCATTGTGTGTACATGTCATTGACTAAATATGCGCTACAACGTGCTCAATTTTTGTTCCGAATCAGCTTCTTCTTACTGGTTACGACGCGACTCCCTTCTCATTCATTCCCGCAGCTTCACTGTGCTTTAAACGGTGGACGCTGAGCGTCCGCAGAGCGTCGACTGCCCAGACGCCGAGCATCTCGAGAGTTCAGGGTAGGTTGTCCCAATGCGTTGAACGGAGACGAGTCATTGGATACAAGCTGGCTTTTGTTCCGCCCACGGACGCTCGGCATCTCTGGGACTGGATGGCAGTGGGATGGTACCGGACGCTCAGTTTTCTGCATCGGATTGGATGATTTGTCTGAGCCTGTGATCCAGTTTGATTGACATCAAAATGAGCCAATCACTGATCTTTTAGTGTAGGCATCCGTGGGAGCACTTTCAATTCTCATTCTGTTCTAAGTTGAACTGGAGATGACTTCTAATCATCTTAGCGACACTCTCTTTGTTGGTATGGCAGGGTTACAGATAATTTTCTTGAAAAGGAACGGAGAGTAGAATTTGCGTTTATATAAACGTACACATTTTATGATGTCGGCCAAAATTGAGCTTCTCCTCCTTGACAGACCAGCATCCGCCACTGCTGCAGACCCAGTTGTCAGCTGTAGACTGGGAACTGTTTGTAGCCCGAAGGCACGCCCAACACTGGCTGCAGGTCATTCCCGAGTTGAACTGTTAGTGCTGTCGCTGGTCATGTGTGAATGCACCCGACTTGGAGGATGAATCAGTTAAAATTAGACTGTAGAACAATGATAGATTTTATGTGTTTCTAGAGTGGAATAATATAATCAAATTCAACATGTAAAAATATACTTGCATTCCATCATGACTTTAATCCACCAGTACTTGATTGGAGCAGGGCTTTACGTCTGCCTCAAAGTGTTTTTGCAAACTATCCAACAG